CTTCTCTTCTCTTCTCTTCTCTTCTCTTCTCTTCTCTTCTCTTCTCTTCTCTTCTCTTCTCTTCTCTTCTCCTTCTTTCCCCAATCGCTAACTGCTACTTAACTGTTTTTATTTGATGCTTTAAACGTCTGCAATTATATATTTTCTATGACCCTTAACGCGGCCGTTTCCACCCTGTTCCGCAGGCATGAGCAACTGGGAGGTGCTCACCCACGTTCAAAATGGTTTTCGGATGCCCTGCCCGCCCAAGTGCCCCCCCACCATGTACGCCATCATGGGCAAATGCTGGCAACTCGATCCCAGCCAGAGGCCGAACTTCACGAACATCAGAGAACTCCTCCAGAATTTCACCAGCTACGAGAACTTCGAAGCCCTCTCTTAAAATCGCCTTAAACGCTTGGGGAGAAGTTGAACCTTCCCGCCTACTGACATTCACCTACGTATAAGGGGCAGAGGGGCAGATCGGGGCTACTGAAAAATGATACCACCCTCAGCCCTGTTGGGAAGGAAGGAGAAGGATCCAGGTTTAACCAGAGGGTAAAATAGGGAGTTTGGAAGATCCAATGGGGCGTGACTCAGGTTTGTGGTCTTGGATTGCACTTTGCAACACAACATCTGCACCCGCAACCTCCACGAATCTCTCTGTGGATAGAGAGGCCATTAATTGCAAGACAAAAATCTGTGTCGGATGTTTGCTGTATGGACTGGACCAGAAATAGTGAAGCAGGAACCACGATGGGTCCATGTATTTCCTGAAGTAACTGTCGGTGCCTCTGGGATCTGCAATCTTTGTGATCAATCTTGAACATTTCCAATGTGCCTCAGAGACTGGAGGGCTTGTCCATCCCACACGCATTACACTAGAGTTTGTGGTTCCACCAGTTGTGGGAATCCAGCCACTGTCTTACCGTGTTGGGTGGACGAAGCCTGTGAAGCCATCCAATGGTTTATTTATTTTGGCAGAGCTTGTGACAAGATTGCAGGACGTGTTGCTTGTTAATCTGGGTTTAAGGTGAAGAAGGGTGTGTGAATCTGACCCTGGAAAGGGTCTTTCTGAAGGTTAAGCCCTCCAGACGTGTTGGATTCTGTTCCCGTCTTCCTGTTGGCGGAAGAGTTATAGGTAAAGATATTTGGAGGAAGTAAAATGAATGCTGATGAATTTGGTGCTGAGAGCATTTTGTCAGAGAAACAGAAATATGTACCACTAACCAATCATTTAGATCAGTGTTTCTCAACCTTGGCAACTTTAAGAGGTCTGGACTTCAACTCCCAGAATTCCCCAG